AAGAGCTAAAGAGCTATGAATAGTAACTTTGGAAGAAAAGCATGAAGTTAACTATGAATAAACTTTAAACTCATTAACAAAATGCAAAGAAATTCAAAGAAATTGGACTATAGAGATTAAATTTGGTGAGATTTTGTACAAAGAGTAGATCATACTTCTATAAAACTTGGGGTCCCCATAGATCACAGTGCCCATGTACATACCAGAAAGGCAAGAACAGAACACAGAGAACAAGCCTGCTCCCGCTGTGTATGCACGCTGTGTTCAAGTACCAAAACTAAATAGATATATATCTCTCCCTATATCTGGTTTTTTTATATATATATATAAATATAAATACCACAACTGAAGCATTGGCAAACAAGAGAGATTTCTAATTACTCTTGGTCTAAGATAGGCACAGGTGTAGTTGACTCATACAACAAAATTATTTCTATTAGCGGATTGCTCAGTTTCATAAAAGCAGAAGCACCGTGTGATGTGTGAGCAGCAATATAGTAACACTGTAAATTGCAACTTGATTGCCATTTGATTCAACCAAGTTAATAGCTGATGATGGCCTATAATTCATATGTGATTCATTTTGGCAAGTCTTTCATTTGTCAGTTTATCAAGCCTATCCTATATATGAGCAATTAAATTAGCAGGGAAAAAAATAGTCCAAATAGCAAAGGGCTCCACAAAAAAATCCTCCGGGTAGTTTAAAGAGATCTATCCTTAACACTGTTGAAATACCATAGCGTACTTCTTAGTGGTTTTCTATTAGGACCAGTAATTCAGCACAGTAGGTACAAAAATAAATAACACACTGCTAGATTTCCAAGCAGCTTCTTGAGGCAGGGAGAATTAATGCCAAAACAGTTCCAAAGAAACTATGCATTGGAAAAACTTAACCAGGAGAAATACTAAAGAACAGCAAACAGTTACCATCACTACAAACAGGAGATAGTAGATTTCAGAAAGTGGCTGGAAATTTGTCAGGCTGGCAGCCGTGGCACACGTACTAAATTCATGTGTAACTGGGAGGCTCAGTCCTACAGGGGGGACAAAGGACACGGACAGAAATAGACTCCCAAGGAGAATCCTGCTTCTGTTTCTTGACGACAGCCAGGACGCTATCGGCACCGCTGGCACAGACGGCCGTAGCCCACTTACCCACTCTTAATGAAAACACAGAGAGCAGCCAGCACAGGATCCAGCCTGGGGTTAAACCACGACACCTCAACAACGTCAAGGCCATGCAGAACGCTCTGTTGTGAGAAGAAGATGTGCTTGTGCCATCGGGCGAGCTTTATTCTTACCGATGCTGCCTGGAGGGTGTCAGTCAGGGGCTGCTCTCCCCTCTCCTCTGGCCCTGGGTTCCCCGAGGAGAGCCAACGGGCGCACCGACAGGGAGCTGGTGCCTATGCAGCACGTCTGCCCGGAGGACCTGGGTCCGGAGTGACGGGGGGAACTGATCACCTGCACTCACATTAAAACCCGCCTCTGACATGTTGACCCCCTGTTGATATGTCCAACAGGAGGCCAAACACACACCCTCAGTTGCTGGAATGTTTGGATTGCACTGTATTTGGTTGAAACGGTCACTAAAAGTAAACATAAACAAAAACCAAGCATACGGAAGAAAATCTCTGCATATGAAATTAGGCCTAACTAGGCTTTTCTGCAAAGCGAAATAATTTTTGGCTGATCCATCTACCGAAATTCTTTGAAAGTGTCCAAAAAAACCCCACCTGAAAACCAAAGAGACTTTGGTGGACTAGTTCATGCTTTACAGTGTTTCAAAAGGCCTTTGATTAAATGCCTAAGCCAGGGACGACTCAAGCAGCTAAGTAATCACTGGGCAAGAAGAAAAGTACTATCACGGCTCAAAAACTGGAGATGGAAAACAAAGAGCAGAATTCAACAGCGAGTTTCTGCGATGGCGGAAGGTTAACGACAGCCTGCTTCAGAGCTCTGTAGCAAGCCTCATATTGTTGGTGTATTTACCACTGATCTGGAAAGAGGACTGTATTGTGAGATTGTAAAACTTGCAGCTGTCACAATTATTTCAGTTAAGCAAGACAAAAGGGGACTGTGATGATGAGGAAGTCCTAAAGAAATAGAATGGATCATGTAACGGTGAATTAAGTTCAATATTGAAAATGCAAAATAACACGTTAGAGAGGAACATGAGTACCACTTCCAATTCTGACGAGTTCCAATTCATTTACGTCAACTGAAAAGCAGAAACCGGGCATTTCTGTAAATGTCTGTGTGCTCTCTGATCCCCACGAAGCTGTAGTCAGAAAACAAATAAGCTAATGGAACAGTGGAGGAATAAATAGCATACTGGTTAGTACCGAGTATTAGAATACCTCTACATAAAGGAATTTATTTTCTCCTCTGGCGTGGTCTACAGTATATCCTACCTCAGAAAACTGATGTGGATGAGTCTGTCTGCAGGCGTGTTTGGGGGAAAAGGCTTTTATAAAAACCAATGTTTTGATAGATTTAGATTATTTATCCTAAGAAGGTGGTACGTGACAGGATAAAAGCAATCAGGGTAGGGAATAACGTCAAGAATTAAGGACGGAAACACCGCTCTCCTGTCTTATTGTACAAGAAACAGGAACTTGACGGTGGCAATCTCAAAATGGGTGACGTGAAATATTTTTGCACGAATGCTAAGTGAGCCACGACTCAGGAAGTAGCTATGGCAAAAAAATTATTGAAATTCAAAAGAGTTGACACATCTACACTGATGAACATAACAAATATATCCCCCGAAATTTATGTTAGCTAAATACTGCATATTTTCTTTAATTTAGCTCTGAACTAGTAAGCTTCATGGTTTAAAACAACCTCTAGATATTAGAAAGCAAACTTAGATCCAGTGGGAGATAGCATACCAGTGCCAGGGTAGTTGACCCTCGGGCATGATTCAGCATGTGTTTTGGCATCCATCCTAGGCATTTCTACCCTTGTATAGTTTGCAGCTCCTTTTGATAGGGTATTTTTAGGTAATTGCATTTTGTCCAGCCGTAGATGCTACTAGACATCATGGACCACTCTCGTGTGACAGGATAGTTTGGTGACTATAGGCGAGGAATGTTTAGCTTCTTACAAGCCTTTGTGAGTGTCACACCTGCATTACCTCACCAGCCATTTCACACAGGTGAAGCATAATTAACCTCCTCTATTTCCTGCTTCTGTACTTGTTCTCCAACACGCTGGCAGCTGGAAATGGTTTGTGAAGCGCCCAACATTTCAGGTTCTAGACCTGCCTGTAAAATCCCCTTCCCTCTTCTGTTTTTAAAGTCGTGCTTGTCTGTCAGTAGACGTTTCTTTCATCGCTGCCATGTGAAAATATCAGGGCAGGCAAGCGCTTATTAATCAATGCCATTAAGCAAAAATATCCCTCAAAGAACAAACCGAAGGAGGAAAAAAGCCCCCGACCCCCCCCTCCAGGAACACTGTTCTGCTCCTCCTGTCCTCCTCAGCCGAGGCATTCCCAAGCTTTCCCGTCTCCCGTGGGCCGCCCTGCCCTGCTCTC